GAGCCCTTGAGAAAAGGTTAAATTAAAACTAAATTAGTGTTCAATTACGTGATAATTTGCTGGTAATTTGAGACTGTTAAATTAACATGTCATTAAGTCCGTAATGTAATTACTCAGTAATTTAAATTCATTTAAAACTAATTTATGTTCAATTACTCAGTAATTGAATTTTGGTGGTTTCATTTAATGTTAATGGATGGTAGTTAATTACAATTTAATGAGAAAAAAAGCCAAATTTGGGGAATCGAACCCGCGACTTTCGATACAAAGAAGACTACTTGTACACCGTTCCCTGCCCATCATCAGTGTTAGACATTTACTTTGCGTGGGAAGTTGCTTCAAAGCTGAAAGTTAGGCTTGTTGCAGATGTTGAGAGCAAATGTCTTTGTATTCCTTTTGAAAGGGGCTTTGCAATTATTCCCTTGCTTCATAGGTATTTTTAGTTGGCAAGCAAGATGGTGGATGGTGTCTATAAATTATACCAAATGACTTACTGAATGTTTTCCTTCTGTTGCAGCTAAGTTTTACATTGTGGACTTTGCTGATGGGTCTCAGATTCTGCCATATAACTGGCTTAGAGACGAAGGCTGCAAGTGCCTCTGGCCACCATGGGCTCAACCATCGAGCCAGTTAGACAAACGGGTTCAGACCTTCACATTACCTACTAAGGATTGGATTTTATTTGATGTGGAGAGAATTCGTGCGTTTGGAGGTAAGCTTAGTATCCATTTTCAGAAGCCATCAAAAGAAACACATTTTTTATAGTTGAGTTTTACAGTTTCCTAATTTTGACTTCTTTTCTAGGTGATTTTAAGAAAGTCCGTGCAAAGTTAAAAGAAATTGACAAAGCAACGGCAACAGATTTAAACTCTGGCTCGGATCAGGGGAAGCATAGGAAGCGGAGGAAAAGGACAAAATAGTACGCACGTCTTTTAAACTACGAAACTGATTCTGAAAGTGAGAATCGCCTTTCAGGGGTTCCACAATTCCTTCCTGCACCCTCTACGAAGCCTGCCTCACTTACTTCAAGAAATCATGTAAGGCTATTCTCATGTTTTGATAGCTTCTCATTAAAAAGAGGTCAGTCTAATTTTATGTATTTGCTTTCTAGCTCTCTGGTGGCCAGGGACCAAAATCATTCAAGACTACAAGCCCACCAAAAAGGCCTGACAACAAGGTATTACTTTCTGGTCTAATGTGTTTCTCACAGACTATTTAACTTTACTTTATTTTTTCAGGTGTCTGGTACATCCAAACCGTTTGGTCTCATCGACAATCAATCAGATCAAAATCAACCTAAATCTCCACTTGCATCAAGCAAATCATGTAAGGCTATTCTTATGTCTTGATGTCTTGTCATTAAGAAGTCAGTCTAATTTTATTTATTTGTTGTTTAGCTCTCTGGTGGCTCTGAGGAACAAAGTACATCCAACAATAAGGTACTGGTATTCACTTTCTGGGGTAATGTGTTTCTGACAGACTTTCAATTTGCTTTATATTTTCAGGTTCATACTAAATCTAAAACCTTTTGGCCTCATTGACAATCAAAAGGAACCTAAATCTTCACATGTCAAAAAGGAATTATCCTACTGGAGTAGTGTGTTTCCTGACAAACTTTAATTTTACTTTATTTTTTCAGGTTTCCTGGTGCTCAGTTTGATGACTTGTCTACTATATCTGTCAACTTTGAAAATCTCAATCGGCGCGGCAAGGTAGCATCTACAAGTACACCAATTAAGGCTAATTTACTTGAGTCAAGTTTGATACAAAATGGCGCCTCTTTCCTTCATCTGAAGAAGCCAGCTTCTCCATGCCCTAATAGTTCTAATCTACTTAAGTTGGATTCAGCAGTGAAGAAACCTTCCACTTCACCTGCTTCTTCTCCTTGCCCTAAAAAGAAGGCATTAGAATTGGCTGATTCTATGGGAGAGAGAGGAGTTCATTTTCAGATTTCTATGTCTATGCCTTAATTGTTTCTGATGTTTAAACCTTTGCAAAATTTAGGGCGTATGTCATCACTGGGTTATCTTACTTGAGAAGTAGGGCATTTGAACTGAAAGCAACTCGACTGGCAGTGGCAGGAGGAGTTGATGATGAGGTTTTGAGAGGGCTGCCAACGCTTGGCAAGAATGTTTTCCTTAAATTTGACAAGCACCTTGACGATAAGGCTTATGCGTCAGATGTGGTTGGTACTTAACTTTGCTGAGAGTACATAGTTTTTACTCATTCATCTAGTTAAAATCATTGCTTTTTATTTTTCAGAAGAAGGAATTTTTGCGCCTTAGCGACCATGACCTTGGGGACTATGTTCGAAAGGTTCTAAGCCGTGTTCTGCTTGATGACCTTGCCAAAGAATATAGTTATAACGGGGCTAAAGGAAAAGATGTATTTTAAAATTTAAATTTCAACAGACTTCTTTTCAGTGAGTATTTAATCTGCATAAACCAAGTGGACTTGTGAGTGGATTTTATTAAACCCTATTCTTATTTATTTTTGTCTTGCAAAAGTAATACGTTTATCAAAGCAGTTCTCTCACACTCCAGACAAGCTCTTTATTATTGAAATTAGAAATTGGCTGAAACTGGCTAAACAAAGATCTGAAGCCAAGGCAATTACTGGAGCAAAGAGGGCTTGGTAAGTCTATCATTCATTTACTTTCATTGACTTTCTGTAAATTAGTCCACAAAATTAATTTGCACCCTTGCTTTCTTTCTTTTCTTTAGCAATTCTCAAGAAGATTATTTTGAGATCAACAAACGCAAAAGGTGAGGTCTCAACTGTCTTAAATTTAAAGTTTTGTTTTCTAATCAAGGAAATTTTTTAACATCCATTAAGAAGGAATACCAGATGTTTAACTTACGTATATTTCTTTGTATTTTTTGCCAGGATAATTATCTCATCCTCCCAGATGAATGAAGAAGATGAAGATGACGTTCTAGCTCTTGATTCATCACAATCTTCTCGTGATGACTCCTCCAAGGAGTACTCCAAAGACGAAGCCTCTGGTTCGGAGAGAGGCGAATTTTAATTTCTTAAATGATCAACCAAAAGTACCCGGTGTTTTAAAAGTATGTTTTAGGTTTGGCTTTCTTTGCTGCCTTTCTTTTTAAAAAGGCAGTGAATGATGGCATGTGTTCAATCTTCTCATCTGGGAAAGTGCAATTTTGTTTAAAGTTGTTTTTCAAAAAGTTTTCATTGATCCTTCGTTATTCAGGGTAAATATTGGAAATTTTCATAGATGATATTGAGTATCATTAATCTGTATAGTTCAGAGTTTAAACAGAAGTGTTATATTGTGAATTGAGTGTATAGATAACAAAATGGAGTTGATAATTAAAAAATAAAATACATGACTTCATATGTTCCTTATTGTTCAGATCAGCCGAGTTCCCATTGCCGCCTGGCTGCTAGGCAACATGCAGCACGCTCATGTATACAGTACACGATCTCGCCTGTCGGTTGGCGCTCGTAGGGTACCGATATTCACCTGAAAATGTACATATCTACGATTTTGATGTCTTATAGACGTCTACCAAGTGGCCATAATTGACATCTTAGAGACGTCTAAGATATACGTCTAGGAGTCTATGTGTGGATGTATAATGGACGTTTTTAAGACGTCTAATTTCCGACTGGGACGTCCAATTCGACAAACGCGTGTATTATGCAAACTAAAGTACATAAGCTGGATCGACCTCTGGGCACTAAAGTAAGAATAAAATAGTTAGAATGTTATCTTTTGCCTTTTAGGCCACAGCTTTTTTTTTATTGTCAACAATCTTGGCGGCGCGGGAAACATTTGTTCGAAATCCAAGGTGGCTGTGATAGGTGTTGAACCCTCGACCGTTGGGACTGCAGGCGAGCTCGAAGCCACTGAGCTACGCCAGCGCGATGACGATGGGGACACTCTCAGACCTGTACTGATTTATTTATTAGTAGCTTGTGAAGGTTTTTATGCAGCAGGATTACTGACTAATTTCTTACTTATTCTGTATATTGTTGTAAGTAGCTCACTGATAAAAGAAAACAAATTCAGTAATTAAAAATGAAATTACATCGTATTACTGACGAAAACAGTTGGCAGTAGATTGTAAAGATTTTCTAAGCAGGAATACTGACGAGAAGTGAAAAAAATCAGTTACGGGATGAGAGTGGAGAAACGGAACCAGTCCGATGCCCGCGTCACCAATCTTCACGCGTTAGTTCACGTAGGTTTGGTAATACATTTGCTCGGGCAGCCAAGATTGTAAGGTACTGTAAACAAACCCTGATTAGTCCGAGTAACCCGGAGTAACCATCAAAAATGGTCTGTGTTAACCAAGTGTTGGCTAACTCCACTATTGCAATTTTTTTGGAGACCCGTGAGATTCGTTGACGAACGCGTGTCAGCTACGTAGACAAATAAAGATACGCCCGAGCAGCTACGTCTAATTAGCTATCTCAGGACAACGGATCTTATTTCTCGCATCTGAAATTCTCTCCAACTCATCAAACAGTTTAGATAAAAGAACTGAAAATTTAGTTGGCTGATGCAACAAACACGTAAGCTCTCTAACTGTATTTAGTTGTTAACTAAAGCAGTTTTTTCCGTGCGGCCAGAGTTCTGCATGGCTCCTCACTCTCACAGGACATTCGCAGAACATGAACGACCCATACTCAGGGTCCCGGTAATCTATACTTCAAGTGGTGCAGGTCGAGACGAGGGCTTAACTGAGGAGGTCCTCGGGTCGCGGCGGGACCGGCGGCGGACTATGCGGACTCGCAGGTTGGAGGGGACGAGGTCATATGATCCGCGCGGCACGGGGAAGCGGTCCCGGTGCTCCTGCGGCAGAGCCCACCTGCAAAGGACGGGCCTTCGGGGCTGCAAGGGGGCGAGAAGAGAGGGGCCAGGTCAAAGCAACAAGGTCACGTAATTAGATGAGGACGTAAATGGGAAAATCAGAGGATCGCTCGCTTGTGGGCCAGTGTAATGCTGAGAGTGGTTTAAAAAGCACCGTGTCTTGACTTAAGTTTTACTTTTAATGGCATTAATATTCGTTTACAAGCACATAAAATATGAACTATTAAAATCATACTGAGATCGTTCGGGACTACTCTTACAATGTTGCCACAAATACAACAAGAACATCGATAACACAAAACACAAATCAAACTCTTTGTACTTCTTCCTCAGGTGCCGTGCCGTTAGGCGTGCCTGGTTCGCTCCAGTTCGCGCAGCGCTTCGAGCAGCCGGTCCATCTCGGCCCGGTAGAAGCACAGGTCCCTGTTCTTGTTGAGGAGGCGCACGGACGCCGAGCAGCACGAGTCTTGCCCGTCCTGTTGAGCCCGGCCCTGTCGCTGCTGCAGCAGGTCCCGGACGATGGCCTGCAGCTTGCGCTCCCGTGCCTCGTGCCGTGCCTCCAGATCCATCACTTGTTCCTGCAGTGCCACTAAACGCTGCGCCTCCTGTGGGTTTATCGTATTCGTACTGATTACTATTCACAGCATTTTTATTCTACATAATGAAAACAATCATTCGAGGTGCAAGCTGGCCTATTTAGTGAACGCTTGTACGATTTGGGGCGGTTCCCAGGTTTTTCCATATCTTGCCATTTTTTAATTCGAGGATGATGGATGATTTGAGGTAAAATATGGGCACACACTGTAAAATGGTTACGAACTAAATGCTTTAAAGCGTTACAAAAAATGTTCATTCTTTGTATTGCAAAGAAATTGTTGGCATTACAAAGCAAATGAAGTATTTCGGTAAAGTTGAAATGCAGAAGAATGCAGGAACGAGAAAAAAGAAGTCACCATGTTAAAGTGATTTTCGTCTACTTCTTACCCACATCCTTCTGCATTTCAGCTTTACAGGAATGCTTTATTGTTCGTAAGGCCAGAAAGGTTCTTACGAACAATCGGTTTGCATTACGAAGTATTTGTTCGTAAGCTTACGAAGAAGCAGTTCGTAATACAACGCTTCCACTGTGAAAAAAATTAGGTAGGTTTACGGGAAAATTTTCCTTGACGCAAGTTGTAAATTAACAATTTGTAATCGTAAAAATACATGGAGTATGTATCGAATTCATATCCCTTGGCGAGTAAAAAATGTGTTGTCGTAAATTTACAACTTAAATTATAATTCGAGTTTACAAATATTTTGTAAACTTTCGACAATATTTTTCACAGTGTTCAAAGTCCTTCGCAACCCTGAAAGTTTCTTACAAAGAACTGCTCTTCGTAACGTACAAAGGATTTGGAACCTTTGTAATGCAAACAATTCCTTTGTATTGCGAAAGGGTCGAGGATAATGTGCAGATAGAAGGAACATACGCACGCCCTTAGAGTGAATAGTTATATGATACAGTGAATAGCCGGTTAAAATAGCTCATATGGCCTACACTGTTAAAAAATTATCGTGATTTTTCAAAATTTTCTCTGGTTACTTTTCTATGACGAAAACTTCGTTTTTAACAAATTAGGATGCATCGTTACTTTACAAATTGCTTAGTGAAATCCAAACCTCTAACTAAAGAGAATTAAAATTGTCCATATTTTACATCGTTAGAATTTTTTTTTTTTTTTTTTTTGGAAAATCGTCAAATCACGAAAATTGTTCACAGTGTTTTTGGCGGATCACGCTTGAGCTCGCGCTTCGATCTGGCATAAATATCCGAAGTTTCCGCGTTTTGCTATCATTAATGCGTAGTGTAGGTGTGCGTTATATTATATGGCGCTATACTCACGGGTGAGGCAGCCTCCTTGAGCCGGGTCACCTGCTTGTTGAGGCTGATGACGCTCTTCTCCAGTTGGTCGCGCTCCCGTTTCAGCAGAGCCACCTCGTCGCCCCCATGCTCTGAGCTGAAACCACAACACGGCACAGGGCACACGCCCAACGTCAGGGCGCGGGTGACACGCCTGCGCCCACTCAGCAGCACACCGTGCCACGCCGCACTCCACGACAGAGGAGGCCCAGACGGGAGCGCCTGCAGCCGCAGGGTAGGCAATGCGCCCGACAGCAACGCGCGACAGGGCCCCGCCGGCCTACCTCCCGGGCGCTATGGCGCTGCAATGCCTCGCAAATTGCGAAGGATTTTGATCCTTTTCTCGATCCTTTCGTAACTAAAAAAACCTATGAGTTCTGCAGTTCTTAGTGACGAAACTTTTTACACTGATAAACTAACCGTTCAACTGCTCAACACTTGTAAGTGTGCAACTGCAAGTTGAATACTCGCAAGTGTGCAACTCCACGGCCGTACACCTGCAAGTGTTCAGCTTGGAAGGTGTGCACTTTCAAGTGTGCAACTCCTCGGTTGAATAAGTACTTCCTTGGACTGAACGCATACTGCAGAAAGTGCTCATCCGAGGAGTTGCACACATGCAAGTATTTAACTTGCAGTTTCACAGAGGGGTAGATAACTCCTGAATTAGGTGTACAAAATTTATGAATTGGATTTGAATTGGCCTGAATTGAATTTGAATTGAACAGAATTGGTTGAATTTGTTTGAATTGATTTGAATTATTGCGACCTTATCTTACTGAATTAGCGTGAATTGACTTAAATTGAATGTAAATTGTCTTGAACTGGACTGAATTGCTTGAGTTACTTTTGATTTGGTTTGAATTGTTTTGGATTGTATTGAATTAAATTGAATTGGTTTGAAGTAGTGTGAATTGGGGAGAATTAGGGGTGTACACTTAGCCGGGGAGTTATCCACCCCTCGGTTTTAACACTTACAAGTGTTTAGCAGTTGAACATTCAGTTTATCAGTGTAGACTGTCTCTACCTGGGTTAGGCGATTCCCGCCCCCTCCTCACCGTCTTTCAGTTACCACCAGGCTTTTTGAAGTTGCAGCTGCAGAACTATTCAGTTCGTTACTTACAGCTACAGGACAAAGTTTTTGCCACTTACAATTGAAGATTGGTTCTAGACTTCGACTTAATTTCAGAGTTCATAGAAGGGCATAGTTTAAAACAAATAAAAGTCAGCCGTGACAAACTCACTGCTTGAGCTGCTCCTTGAGGTGCGCGATGACCAGTTGCTGGGTGTAGAGCTGCCCCTGGAGCTCCGCCACTCGGCCCTCGCAGCTGCGGTCCGTCAGCCGCTCGTTGACGCGCTCGCACACGATGCTCTCCAGCTCCTCTTCGTGCTTCGCCTGCAGTCGCGTCAGCTGGAGGCAGAGAAAGAGTGTGAAAGAAAGAGAGAGAGAGAGAGAGAGAGAGAGAGAGAGAGAGAGAGAGAGAGAGAGAGAGAGATCAAAAGAATGGAGCAACAGTGTCTTGTTCGCACCCATCCCGCTTTCTACCTCGCGCCACTCTCCTCTCTTGTTGCTACGGTTCCTACAATAAATCTCCTTTATTTCCTTAGTACATTTATACTTCACTTCCTTTTCTCGCTCTGAACTTATCTTTCCGTGAATACCCTCCGAGGCCCGAGAGGGTTTTCACTAGCGCGTAATACACTGGACACCTATTACTCGTAATGCAATACCTAAAATTAGGGATATATGCTTTAAAATGGTAGAATTTCCATTTCAAAGCCTGTTTATTACCAGCGCAATACATCATAATACACGTAATACAGGTCGGCCGCTCCGACCGTAGTTATGAAAAGGTAGTTGCCTGCTTGCAGACGGAGCGGGGATGTGGGAGGGGATAGGATAGGTAGGTGCAGGCAGGCTAGTCTACCTTTTTAAAACTACGGGGCAGAGCCGCCACCTATGTATGTAATACACTATACACGAAAACTCTGAGCGAAAACCCCCTCGCCGAGACCTAACCTAGACCTTCCACTTCCCCCACCCCTTACGTCTCCTTCACGGCCTCAACCATCGTCGCATTGCTTGCCCGTCACCCTACCAAAACATCCCTCATCGTCTGCCCCACCCACCCGTCGTCTCCCCGACTCACCCCACTTCATCGTCCACTCCACCCCACCCCTCCTCTCGGCCGCCAGACCCACTTTTAGCCCCCCTCACTTCGTTATTTGCAATTCCCGCACTGCACCCTCGCTCCCGGACCAAACCCACTCCCCTCACCACAACACAACAACTCGGAACGGGGCGGGTAGGGGCAGGGTGGGCCGAGAGAGCATGGCGTCGCGGCCTCTCCCGCATGGCCCCCTCCGACAGCCCCATCCCCGCTCCCACCACCCTCGCCCACCCCTCACACCACCACCACCACCACCACCACCACCACCACCGAGTCACCATCACGACCAGAGGGGGCGCCACGCCACCAGCCGCAAAAGTAAATCATAAAGAATAAAACGGAAAGAAAACAATCACGGCGCCTGAAGAAAAACAAGTGCAAGATTCCGACCAACCCTCCCCATTTTAATACACGGCAGCCGGAGAAATAAGCGGATCGAGCTGGATGATAGTCCATCGCTAAAACAGAAAAGTCAGCGAGATATCGAATTGCATAAATTATTTGAGAGGGGAATTTAAAAGTGCGAAATGAAATTAGCGTAGATAGTTCACAATAACATTTTGACCAGGACTGCTTGCAAATGATTTAAATTGTCGAGTTAGCTTGCGAACATTGAGACAACTATAACACGTGGAGCAAACAGCAGAACTAAAGTTGCCTCGGGGCAATATAAGATAACAAACCTCAGCACTTCAAAAATTCGTAATTTAGTTCCCGGAAAGGGGTGGTGAGGATTGGGGGGAA